GCACTTAAATTGTCTTCTTATAGATTGATTTAGAACTTAATCATCAAATTTTATGTTTCCTTGCAGATGAGAACTTTAAACTAACTCATGATGGTCCTGGCATTCTCTCTATGGCAAACAGTGGTCCAAGCACAAATGGGTCTCAATTCTTTATAACCTTCAAGCGTCAACCCCATCTTGATGGGTATTTAATATTTTCTTATTACTTATTTATGAATTACAACTTGAAAGATGAAACTTCCCTATACGGCTTCAGTAACAATGAATAAAAATCTGCTCAGCAAGTTGAATAATGGAAGCTCTGTTTCTGGTCCAATCACTTTAACCAGCCTGTCCAACTGAAAGGATTACAATATTGTGTTCATGATTATGATATTAGATATAGTAAATAATTAACAAAATTTGTGTTCGGCTTAGGGTTTGATTTTAACATAGAACTAAGAGGTTAAGGGTTCAAGTGCTGCCTGTTTAATAGTGTTTTATTCATAAAATAGTACAGTTCAACCAGTTGGGCCATCTGAGCGGTCTGGTTTCACTACTTAGCAATGGATTTCTCATTTATTGATTGGTTGGCAGGAAGCATGTTGTTTTTGGCAAGGTAATTAGGGGAATGGATGTTTTGAAGAAAATTGAGCAAGTTGGAACAGGTGATGGAAAGCCTTCTCAACCTGTAAAAATATTAGACTGTGGTGAATACTCTGAAAGTAAACTTCAGGATGCTGTTGGGAAAGCTGAAGGTACTGCTGTGAAGTTTTAAATAGCAATTCGTGATTTTTGGATCAGTTGCCAACTTTTCGCTACATGGTTTTTCTTTTTCAGGGAAAGGGAAGAAATCAAAAAAGTTATTTCTTCCGACAGTTCTGACGACCGAGTGAAGAGAAGCAGGAAGTCTTTGAAGGATATAAGGAGTAAAAGAAAAAGAAGATATTCTTCATCTGATTCCTACAGCTATGACTCCGACTCCGATTCCTATTCTTCAGATTCAGAATCAGATGACTCTCCATCTGAATCAAGTTCCTCTAGTGATGGAAGAAGACATAGGAGGAGGAGGTTGACAAAAAGAGACAAGCGTAAACATGGGAAAAAGAGGAAGGGCGAGCGAAGAGACAGGAAAAAAAGAAGATCAAAACGCAAATGGTATTGGTTAAAATCTGGTTTCAAGGACAAGCCTTGAAATTTTGTTATCCCTGCTTATTAATAGTGGTGATCAACCATTTTTGTTTTGTTATACTTGTTGATGCTTGTTTTATTTCAGGAGTTCAGATAGTTCAACTGACAGTGAAAGTGAGAGTACAAGCTCCAGCAGTGGCAGTGATGATGGGAAGGCTGGTTCTCGCCGTGTTTCTGCTCGTGCCAATCGTATCTCCAAACCTGCTGAAGGTGAATCTTTTGGTATTTCTATCCTGTTTTAGCCTGTTATTTTCTCATTCTTCACGCTAGCTCCCTTTATACTCTTGTGTATTAGGCTAGTGGCAGTTGATTTTGGAATTGACTTTAGCAAATCCTAAATTTAAGTAGAGATGTTACACTTTCATACAAATTCCTCTACTCATTTCCACCAATCATGTAGATATTACACTTTTATACAAATCCCTCTACTCATTTCCACCAATCATGTAGATATTACACTTTTATATAAATCCCTCTACTCTTTTCTACCAATCATGTAGATGTTACACTCTTATACAAGCCCCTCTACTCTTTTCTCCCAATCATGTAACATTAAATTAGCAAGTCTTCCACTGGCATTATTTATTAGTATAGGTGACATGGAACAAAAGACGTGCTTATGGGAGGAGATTGTGAAAAGATTCTATAGGCATCTTAATGTTGCTCCTTTGTTAAAAGCTAAAGGCAGATTGTGATGCTACAAATGTAAAGAAAAAAATGTGCCAGGCCAATTTTCTAACCAAGATTCTAATGCAGGACTAGAAAGGAATAAGTTAAGGTCACCAAGGAAAACTCGCATGAAGAAGGTGAATTGTCCCCCAAAAGTGATGAGCTGCCCAACAACGGTCATGGCAACAAGGCTGCTAAACAACATTCCGATATGGATGGCTCTGACAGATCAAGGTTTTCATTCTTATATAACTCCTTTTGTATTTTGTTGGGTTGCTTCTAGCATTTAGTTTCATGTTCAGTGAAATCTACTTTGTGATTTTATTACCAATGTTTTTCAATGTGCTTCACAGAAGTGTGAGCCTAACTCCTAAACGGAGGCCAAACAGAAGTCGCAACCAGAGCATGACTCCTCCTAAGGATGATGATAAAAGCCCTCAGATATCTCACAAGCAGAACCAGGGAAGGACTTCCCCTAGCCCATTGAGTAGTCCTCCAAGGAAAGCCCCTACATCTAACCAAGGTCGCATTTCCTCTAGAAGTCCTTCTCCAGGTGGCAAACCAAAGCGTGTAAGAAAAGGTCGTGGCTTCACTGACCGCTATTCCTTTGCACGCCGATACCGTACACCTTCTCCTGAGCGTTCCCCACCAAGAGCCTACCGTTATGTTGGAAGAAATATTCCAGAAAGAAACAATGATAGGTAATCCCGGACTATAACTCAAAGGATGCTACTGTTTTCCCTTTTTCATAAACTTATTAACTTTTGTTTTGTTTTGTTTTCCTTGGGTGAAGATATTCTAGGTATAGAAATAATACAGATCAATCAACCCACAGACACTATAGAAGCCCAGCAAGAGGCCATAGTCCACCCAGGTTCTCTCTCTTAACTTTCTCTGGTGTATTTATGTATGCCTTGTCAAAATTGTCTTTCATAGCTATGACGTTTTGTTTGTTTCAGTGCATTACACATTGATGAGATCTGCTTTCATCAACTGGTCATTGATTCAGCTTTATTCTTGCTTGCCTGATACAATATATAGTATTTTTAGCACTTTTCTTGTAGGCTTTAGTTAATCAAATACCTATTTAATTTAGACAAGTTAGTTTTCAGCTTCTAAAATAGGTTACAGTGTATTGTTTTTCCATTAAAAGTTCCCTAATATATGTGTTTTACTGATAAAAATAAAAAATCGAAAGGACAAATCATTGGGAATAACCTCTATTCTGTTAATTTCCATGTTAATTGGCCAGTTGGTACGATGTGGAAAAGTATTCTAAATTTGAATATTTGGACCGTCCATTTGCTCATTTACGTTAATCTAAGTCTGAATATTCCATATATGTAATTTATAATATTTTTTCTCTCCTCTAACGAGCAAATACGTTGTAGAAAACTGGAAAATAATTTATGTTCATTTGTAGATACGGGCGCAGAAGAAGTAGGAGTAGGAGTGTTTCTCACAGCCCAGTTGGTTATCAGGGAAGATACAGAGATCGAAGTCAGAGCCAGAGTCCTATCCGAAGTCCTAGTCCTAGAGACAAACGGCCTGCCATAAGCAAGGGGTTGAAATCTCGCCTTGGTCCTCGAGTCGATGATCACCGCTCACTATACAAAGAGAAATCGAGGTCAAGGTCCTCTAGGTCGAGGAGTCATGGGTCCTCGCCTTCTAAAGCTGCTGATATCTCACCACCAAGAGATCGCAACAGGTCTGCATCCCCTGACAAGTCCAAATCAAGCTCCCCGTCGGGACAGAGAGGATTGGTATCTTATGCAGACTAAATCCATGCCCCTCGGGCAATATTGACTGTACTTGGTTTGCAACACAATGACATTTTATTTGCTATTACCAATTTTCAGATTGTGGATTTAGTTGCAAAATAATTGTTGTTTTTCTTTGGCCAGCGACCTTAGAAAGACAATGAGAACTTATCTGGAACAGCCAGCCTGCAAGGGACATGTACTTACCAATGCATGCTGCTAGGAACTGCCTTTTTATTTATGCTGCTAGGAACTTGTTAAACAGTAACCGTTGCATAAGAGATGGTTTGGTGTAGGGGTGTTTAATGAGTTGAGCAGCTCAAATTTGATTCGGTTAAAACTCGGTAAAAGTTTGACTCGGGTTAAATCTACTCGAAATCTTAACGAATTGAGTTGAGTGAAGTCTAACTTGACTCAATAAGTTCCCGAGCAGATTATTTATTTTTTATAATTTTTTACTAATTATCTTAAAAATTTACTAATCTATTAATAGATGATAAACGATTAATCTATTAAAAATATTAATGATTGGAATGTGATTATTCAATATTAGGGTTGAGTGTTCGATCGAGTCGAATCGAGTCTAGTCAAAAAATTGAGTTATTCTAATTGATGAGTTCTATTGTACAACTTGGAGTTGACTTGAAATTTTTTTGAGTGAAAAGGTTTTTTCGAGTTTTTTAAAATTTAATATAATATTATAATATTATTTTAGTTTAGTTTAAGTAACTTTCTATAATCATATATACAATATAAAATATTTTTCTTTATATTTTTTCAGATTTGATATACATATATCATACAAAGTAGAAGGATTCGACTCAATCTTGAAAATAAATCTACTAATATTTCCTAGTATATGATCATTTCTTAATTGAAGCATACCTTTCATAAGAAAAATAAATAATAAAATACTAAATTATTAATTAATAATTAGTATTTTATTGCACCCAAAAATTAAATTTTAATTATTATTTTAATGTATTTGTATATTGTTATTTTTGAGTTCAGATTTTTAATTTGTTTCGTATACTCTTTTGATAGTTTTTGGTTAAATTTATCAATTTATGTTTATAGTAAGTTTTATATAGTATTAATAAATTTTACCTATAGTTAAAATAATAAGATAAAAATTTTGGTGAGTTTAACGAGTAACGAGGTGAATATTGAGCTTAACGAGCACAAGTCAAGCAACAAGTTTTTTAATGAACACGAGTCGAGCAAAAATTTAATGAGATTAACAAGCAACGAGTTGAGTCGAACAACAATTTTTTTAATAAACACGAACCTGACACTGTCCAACTCGCGATCGACTCGCTCGATAAAGGTGCTGAAACCTTTTACCATAATGGTCTAAAGCTTTTCTGTTCGCAGGAATGTTAAGAAGCATAAGACGTGGATATTACAAAAGCAAAAATCTACAGAAATTTATTCGGTCAAATCATTTTATGAGACATGAATTCCTGGAAATAATTTACACATTATTTACACTAGGAAGGTTGAGGTCATATGGTGGCGCCTGCAGGAGATTTTGCTGCTATTGCCCCACAGATCTCAACTCAAAACTGTCATTTTCCGAGCTTTCAGAGCGGTCAAGCCTCAAACGACTGGATCGATACACTTCGCAGAGATACATACTTAAATCACAGAACTTGAGCAGACAAAAGGTGTCTCAGCTGGAGTAGGTGTTCCTCGTCGGAAATGTTAAGGGAGAGGCGTAGATTTGTTAACAGGAACTCCTGCCGCCAAGTTAAAGGACCCGAAGCATACAGAGCCTTGACTGTTGACTTGTAAGCACGGAGCTCAAGTTCATGGATATCAAAAACTTCATCGGCAACAACAGGGGACGAATGTGGGTCCCTTTTGTCACACGAATATGGGAATGATGACTCGGCATCAGAATTATCAGGTGTGCTTTCGAGTGGACTTCGTGAAATTCGGCCAGCATAGTCAGCAACACAGTTAGAACTACAGCTAGCAACCGAGCATTGGTCAGTGTCTTCAGCAGACAAAACAGGTCTACAAGAATCATATAAACAGCAACGCGGGGTCTTTTCCGTTCTGTTATTCCTGTTAGGTGATCGCTTAATGAATTTTCCATCAAACCCTGGGGATTTCCTTTTCCTGAGGCTTCCTCCGATGATCGGGTTTATTTTGCATTCTTCAGATCGATGATCACGGCCTTTACTTATGCCCCTCATGGACATACACATGGTCACATATCAGTCCCATCCTTATGCATTCCTCTCTATCCTTCTCTCTATATTGAGGGGCTTCGGTTAAATGCAATGATGTCCTGAAAAGCAAGCCACCGGAAGGGTATGGAAATTTCGGTGTACAATTCTTGGTTGAGTCTTTACCATGAGCAACCTGTCATCACATGAAGTCTGATTTAGAGATAATGTTAGGTTCAACATATCAGTGAGGACTTGTTATAGGTCCTCTCGCAATATCAGACGTAAAAACTACAAAGGTTATTATAAGAATAGCAGTAAGGATCGAGTTATCCGATCCAGTTTCGGAATAAGCCAACTATGCCAGTGCTCTCTCACAGGCTAAAGATAGATATTCATGTTACGTGTCACTGAGCAAGAAACATATTCGGAGGAGAAAACCAGTCATTTTTATCTTTGACTGACTCTACTAAACTTGAAAAATATGCCTTTTTGATGCTCAACTCCAAAGATAAACATATAGGAGAATTAGGTGAAAAGCAAGATGAAATAAAGACATTACCTTCCCAATCACCATCCACTTCTTGCCATCCCAAGCCTGCCTAATCCTTAAACTCGATGCATCAAATTCCTTAAGTTGGATTGACCCAAACAACTTGACAACGAATCGATGGTTGTCCTTCAACACCTTTGCGACCTTTCCGACCTTCCAACACTGGATATCAAACACTTCGGCCACATCGCCGACCACCCAACTCTTCCTATTTACACTTGGAGGCAAGGGTCTAACATCCTTCCTTTGCACCTTCTCCACCACTTGTCTTCCTTTGTGGTCCATAAGAAGTTTGTAGCTGACAACATGGTTTTCGCCACTGGCTGAAACGATGTTACCAGTAAACCAAGAGCCACATGGATCATCGTCGTCTTCTCTTCTTAAAACCTCCACCAAGTTCCCTTTTCTGAAATTCATGATATTTAAACTCCAAAAAATGCTTTACCCCTGATTAAAAAAAGTTCAAAAAATAAGGGAAAACAAAATTAATATGACTTGATTCTCCAACAATAATTGAAGGTGTTAACACAAGGATCAATGGATGCTAGCAGATCTAGGAGTGACACATGAATACAGAAATCGAACTGTAAACATAGATATAATCAAATTTACATAGATTCATTGGGGGGAAAAGATTCCTAGCCTTGAATATCTAGGGTCATTTTGGGGACTTATAAGATTGATGCTTCAAGAAGGAAATTCTTCAAAAACAGAAGATGAACAAACCCATGGAAACCAGTACTTATTTACATAGTTTGACCAATCAGCAAAAGAAGAAGAAGAAGAAGAAGAACCACTCAAAACACAATCAACCCATGTTTCAACCCAAAAAGAGAGAGGAAACTAAACTATATTCTTATTTAAAAAAGTAGCATTTACCCAGAATTTGAATTCATTTAATTATGAACTACACAAACAATTAAACAAAATTAGATGATCAAATTAGACGATTCTGACCTGAGATTAAAAGAGAGTAAATGAAAAACGAACAGGACGCAGTTCAGTTGGGATCATGACCGCATACTCACGCAAAAATGGTTCGATTTGCTCTCCATTGTTTCTTTTTAAGTACAACTAAACCTGTTTTCAAAAATATTTGGTACTAATCCTGTGACCATGGGATGGGGGCCATTCCTCTATTCAAAAACCTCTACTTACAAATGTTATTGCATTTACATCCTTCAATCTTAGAAGACACTAACCTTTATTTACTTATTTATTGTGTTGTAAGCGAGAAGCATAAGGAGAACGACGGCTGGGTTTGTATTTGAGTGAATGGGATTGTGACCTCAAAACCTTATCTTTAAAACCCATCTTCATCCGCATGTTATGATTATTATTAACACAGTGGCAAGGCTGCATTTTATTTGTCGCTGTCTCCACCTTTTTCAATGGCTTTCGATACATTCCATTTCCTCGTTGCTGTGAATACGGGCGTAAATGAAATATGATAAATAGTTACTTATTTGAGATTGATTCGATTAAAATTAACGAATTAGAATAAATTATTTAATATTTGACTCTAAAATCTCACTAGCAACTCAAAAATATAATATATTAAGATTTTATTTTAAAAAAAAATAAATTATTAATAATATTAGCATTTGTGTTGATTTTTTAAAAATTGCAATATAAAGTTTTCAAATATTTAAGGTTAGGGTTTGAGTTTAACGCTTCAATCGAGTTAAGTTTAAGAATTTTTTTTCATTTCGAGCTTTCACGAGCTTTAATTATTGGTTTCGAGTTGAGTCGAGCTGAAAATTTTAGGCTCGTGAGTTTTCGAGCCGAGTCAAACTATATTTTAGAGATTTTCGAGTCAAATCGAGCACAACTCGGCTTGTTTACAATCCAGACTGTGAAATTAACAAGGATTTAAAAAAAATAATCGATATGATTATAAGATAGTATATATTAATAATTTATTATTATAATTCTTTTGAATAAGTTGTCTATTAAAGATAAATTAGTTCAATTTAATGTAGTTTACGGATGATCTTTGTGGTATTTATATGGAGCCTAAAAATCATTTTTTAATTATTCCTATTGCATAGGCCTATGTGTTGGGAGTATGATTGTAAATGAAACGAGATAGATCGCGAGTTATTTGAGATCTACTCGGTCAAAGCTTAATAATTACTCCATTTGAATGGACTCGTCTGGAGCTCGACACGAGTTCTTAATGAGCCGAAATGAACTAATTTATACTCTACTTGAAAAACCCGCGGACAACTAAAAAATATAATACATTAAGATTTTATTTTAAGAAATAAATTATTAATAATACTAACATTTATGTGTTGATTTTTTTGAAAAAAAAAAGAAAGTATAAAATTTTCATATATTTAAAGTTTAGGTTCGAGTATGAGTTTGAGGTTTCAATCGAGTTAAGTTTAATTTTTTTTGAGCTTTTACGAGCTTCAATTCATGATTTTGAGTTCGAGTCGAACTTAAAAATTTTAGGCTCGCGAATTTTCGAGACGAGTCATCTCTATTTTAGAGTTGTTGGGAGGATAATCTTCAGTGGGTTGTGAGTAATTTGAAGGGCAACTTTTTCCTTGTTCGACTTCTTAAGTTGACTTGAATGAGGTTTTTGTATTGCATCTGGGAGGAACGTAATTGTAAACAATTTAGAAGTATTAAGCGCTCGATTAATGATATTATTGAGTGTATAAAATAAATTATTATAATTAAACATAATTATCTAAACTCATTAAAATAGCATTCTTTTTAATCATTTAATTAATTCATTTAAATATATATATATATAATATAATTAACTCTTATTTTTATTGAAAGGTTATTGAGGTACACCAGTTTTATAGATATTGGAGGAGCCCATCGACAGGAAGACTGCCCCTCCAGGCTTAGGTTGGGCCTTACCCAACAAAAAAAATAGGACTATTTTAACCATATTTGATATATATTTCTATGCTCATTGGTCACTATTAATTAATACAATATATAAATAACATTATAATTATTACATTTTGACAACTAAAATTAGAATCATATTTTTTTTTATTAAAGTAGGGTATTTACTAGTAGTTGTATATATTCTAAATATTCTTAATCATTTGACCATAGACGATCAAATATTTTATAATAATTTATACTCGAATCTGAAATATATAAGAATAACAATCATTCTTATTCTTATCATTTTTTTCATCAATTTAGCCCTCGAATTTTATATACGATGTTAATACGAGACAATGTTAAGATGGGATTTTAATGAGAAGATTGATAGTAGTAAGTTAAGAGAGGGAAGAAAGCAGAGGATAACTGAGGTAAAACAGAGAGGGAAAAGTTATTTTTTTCTTTGATGACGACTGGAATTATGCCTGAGCAAAAATTCTAGAGGAGCAGATTGGGAAACAAATGGGTTGCATGGCTGGTTTCCTTCAGATCTTTGATCGTCACGAGGTTCTTACCAGCAAACGCCTCTACACCACCAAAAGCCTTCCTCCTTCGCCGGTACGTCTTTTTTCAATGTGGGTGTCTGGGATTTCTTTCTGCGGTGGTCATGTTTTATTAACTCCTTTTATCTTTCAGGGGAGTGAAACGACGTCGGAGGAAGATAACGCCGTTGAGTCGCCATTACCATCGAGAGAATTAGAGAATGAGTCACAAGGCCGATTAGCACCATCACCGTAACGTTTCAAGCAATCTCCAGTGACATGAGAGCTCCACTCTCTAGCGCCGGAACGTTCCACCCCGACGGGAAAGCAGAACAAGGCTTCTCTTCCGCTTCCCGTTTTCGAATTCAAAGAAGGCAGAGCGTGGTCAACATGGAAATTTTCAAAAGAAGCTCCGAGGCTCTCTCTCGATAGCAGAGTCGTCGTTGATGCTAAAGGAAGCCTCAAACCCCGTGAGATCCGCACTAACGAATGCAAAACCAGTAGTGAAGAAAATGAAGTGGATGATAACGACAAACAGAGACGGCCACCTAGGGTAATCGCGAGGCTCATGGGACTCGGATTGTTACCAAATTCGGATTCCGAACCTAATGAAAAAGCAGAGCTCCGAAGATCCGCGCCGGAAGTTAGAGGCAGAGATCTATTTCAGTATCGTTTTGTTGATGGAGTTAATTTTCATTTAAAAAGAGCCAGCTACCAAATTTCCAAAACGAAGAGATTTCGAGCAATGTAGTAAGAGAAAATGGAGCCAAACAAGCGCATTTATTGAATAACAGATCAGAAAGCTTAAGAAACGCGAGAACCGAACCAATGAAAGCTGCGGTTCGAGAGGAATAACAGGTCAAAGGAAATGTTTCTACGATTCAGCCGATTTTTTCCCCGAGCCAAAACAAACTGTTTCCATCTATGGAGAGGTTGAAAAAAGGCTTAAGCTCAGAGGAATCAACAAGCCATCGAAAGATCTTGAGACTCTTAAGCAAATCCTCGAAGCTTTGCAACTCAAAGGCATCTTGCACACAAAGAAACCTCCAAACCAAACGAATAACAGAAGCTTTGTTTATGAAAATGAACAATCTCCGATTACCGTTATCAAACCGAGAAGATCACCAGCTTCCTCGGTCAGAAGGATTGGCAACTAATCGCCTCCTTCGAGTATTAGATCAAGGCTTAGACCTCGCCGGAACTTGAGTATCGAAGCTCAGCCGACGATGAGTCCTCGACATTTTCGGTCGGAGAATGAACGGAACCAAAGGAAGAGTAGGGGTTCAGTTTCTCCAACAAGGAGTGAGTGTGGCGTGAGGAGTCCTAACAGAAGGCCATTGAGTGCTGAAACGCAGAGATGAGTATCTCCAGTTCAGTCCCCTCGAGTTAATGTGAGAAAAACCGGATTCGATCAGACGACTAATAGATCACCGAGAAACAGAAAGTCAACGTCTGAGATTTATCAGAACGAAGAGAAGGTAATATTTGTTCCAACCGAGGATGGAACATCCACTGTTTCAGAGAGTAGCATTAGCACGTGTTCTCTAACTGATACGGAGGTAAATTTGCTAAATTACTTAATTACCGTGGAGATTTGGTTATATAATTTTGCGTAATTACCGTTATCTATTTAAACTAGAGTAATTTATTGCCTTTGCCATTCGCGGTTTTCACAGAGATCGAAGGTCGAGGAATACAAGAACGGGTGAAGCCTCTTGGAACGGTGTGATAAGCCGCTTCACAGCATAGCAGAGATGGCCGCTTCTACTGAGTTGCAGCCGAGTCCTGTCTCTGTACTTGACCCATCGTTTTACAAAGAGGAATCATCTCTTTCCCCTGTTAAGAAAGGGAGTATCGATTTCAAAGGTAAGAACCAATTTTCTTCTTTTTTAAATCTAAATTCTGAAACATTTATTATTATTATTATTATTATAAAAAGTATGCGAACTGAATTCGATTCGCTAGATTCTGCATTCGACTATGATGACGCAAGTAGTTTAACGGTTTATGTTTATGATTTCTTTTACCATCATTGGTGAGATTATCTGATTAAGTTGTTCAATCAGAAGATGATACTTGGAGTTCCTCTGCGATCTCATCCGACGAATCTAAATCCGAAGATAAATCAGACGTTTGTAATTTCATCTACATTTCCGATATCATGAGGGCGTCCAGTTACCTGCCGGATGACTCCGACGTCTTTTTGTTGCTGGAGAAGCAACAGCTTCTGAAAGGTAAAGATACCTCCAAAGTCTCTAGACTCCAAAGGAAGCTTGTATTCGACATCATCAACGAAATCCTCAATCGAAAGAGACAATTACCGGCATGGAAGTTTATTGACACGACATCGTTGCAGCAAATTTGGTCCGAATTCCAAAAGATTCGAGAGCGAGACTCATCGGACGACTTGTTCGATGTCATTTGTGGCTTGTTGAGGAAAGACTTTACAGGGGATGCCATTAACGGTTGGGGAGATCAAGCCGTCGAGATGTCCGAATCCGTCCTCGACATCGAAAGACTAATATTCAAAGACGTGATCGTCGAAACCATCCTAGATCTCTCTGCTTTCTCTGGAGAAAGTAGAGAGATCTCAGCACTTAGAAGGAAGCTGGTGTTCTGAAGTGATAAATGAGGTAGCCCTGTTTGTTTGTTTGTTTTTTTGAAAAAAAAATATTCTTGGCGCGATTGCTTGTAGCTCCTTGTTTTTAGCATTGAAGCAAAGATTTTCTCCCAAACCAAAGGCTAATTGTATACCAAGACTTCCCATTGTTCCATGATATTCCCTTC